AGAAAATGAAATTATTGGTATCTTAGAATTGTTTCCAAGATTAATCACAAAGCTTGCCTGAGTTGATTGCTGTGGTCCGTCCAATCATGGCCTTCACCTCTACATTGTTCAGTAGGTCTAGAGCTGCACTTCAATAACAAGAATCTTAACCATTCATGGCAATTAGATATAGACTTTGTATTGTGCAAATTATGAGCATAATGAAAGGAGAACACAGAATACTAACAAATGAATAATACAGAACAATGGCACCCAATATATTGAACAATATTTGTTCATGACTAGTTAACAGGCTGAATGGTTAACATAACTTCCAACAATTAAAGCACAGGCATGCATGATCATGAATATGTTTGATAGAGTCTTGAGATACTCGAGTTTTTAAGGGAAATTTAAAAATGTACTCTGTATATAGGGCGTATTTATGTTTTACGTTCAATTTTTTGAAAGTTACAAATTACATACTATGACTAGGTTAACATATATTTTTTTTAAGAGTTAAGCCAGAAAATGTTGTCAGATTCTTTGACAGATGATTTGTCAGCAGGGTATGATCAGATGTAGAAACCGACTATTTTTTAATAGTCCAATAATAAAATATCATATGGCATTATGTCAAAGAATCTGGCAGAAGTTTCTGACAATGTAGCAAGGTTATTTAAACCCTTGGAAATTGAAACACGAGTTTTCTTTCATTACCAAAAAACCTTCGGAAATCCAAGTCGATCCATACATCCATTTAATTTCTTCACTCAACAAGCCAAACATGAGCTCTCAAAACCTTCACATTTCATTAAAATCTTTTGTTTCCATAAGATTTCCAATATTACAAATAGACCCAAAAAGCAATAATCATTATAAATTTTATAAAGCAAATTGTAGACAAATTTCTCCTATCATTGTATAGGAAAAGGGAAGATGAATTTTCAGCTTTAACTATGAGAATTTGGGAGCCAAAATTTTATTTTTCCACTTCTTCAATAATTAAATCACAAATATACATCCTTTCCTGGTTATGGTTACTATATGCCTATTTTGATATTAGTCAGTCCAAAATCTGGTTTTCTGGAAAAAAATTTTAAGTTCCAGAAGGCACTTTTTCCACTTTCGTCCAAATAAATTTCTTATTTGTGTAAGATTCGTGCATCAATGTTGGGTGATAAGGACAAAGTTCATGAGAACAAAAATATTGAAGAATAAGTTCTTGAGACCTTGTGCACTAGAGGAAGAACTTTCTCTTAGGAACACAAAGTGAAATCGCTGAACTTGGACGACTACATATTATTATTTCCATTGGCATAATTAAATATTGCAGTAGACATGTATACTGGTATAGTAGCAGTCTTGATCTCTTGTCCTCAGTAGACACGATAAAAACTTCTATCCTGAGGTTCTCTTGCTACATCAGTGAGAAGTTTTTATAATGTCTATATGAAAAACACATTTTTTCAATGTAGATTGAGAGATTGCTGAGATGATTACTTGCAAAAGTTGTTCATGGCCGCTAGCACACAGAGAATAGAAAGAAAACTGAAAGAACCTGCCAGAGTTGCATCAACAACATCACCCTCGGAGTCCCGGGTTTGTAGAATTAGCCTTGTCTTGTAATATCCATGTGACGCATTACGCATAGAAGTCCGAGAGGGCCATTTTATGCATTCCAAACCCATCTTCCCGACCGTTGTGTTCATGTCAAGTATCACTCCCAGTCTCCCACCTTCACTGGAACTGTGGTTTCCAGTGCCATGATTGCATTAAAGTAAACACTTACAAATAGAAAAAAATAATGAAGTGAGACAACTATTTGAATAAGATGCTTCTCCATGTTAAAGAGTTTCTAATTCAATCTCATTGAAGGAGAGAGACACTGCTCCCCAGGATCAGAAAGACAAATATATAAACTATCTTAGGATTAAGAAACATTCAACTGGAATTGTACTATGATTATTAAAGTTTTCTTATTGAGTCGTACGGTAGGTATGATAATTCCATAATACAGCATGTACTTTTTAATCTGATCATCAATTTGCAGATCATTGACATGATATTTGTACAAGGGAAAGAGTTTTCTACGTTTGAGTAAGTCATAGTTTGTGCATATCTTGATTTCGGTCAGTCGAAACTCTATCTGGTATTTTGTATCAGTAAGTCATGATTTTATTGTATATACATGCATCGTGTTTTTTGTTAAAAGGAATATAGTTATGTACCTTTTTCGAACAGGTCCAATAGACAATTGAGTACCAAGAGTTCAATGAAATTGTGAGTCTAGAAGATACTATGCATATGTTTGGCTCACATTTATAAACACACAATCCATCTTTTATCCACGCATTTCAAATGATCTAAGAATATTATCCACTTATTCATAACTTATTTTTATCAACTTATAATTTATATCGTTTATAACCACTTCCAAAACTTGTTTCTATTTTATTCGACCTCCATTATTTTTATAGAAAGTACAAGCATCCCCAACTTAAAAGTGCAAAAGCTACCAATCGTTTGAGAAAATTATTACAAATTATGTATAATCTCATAAATAAAGAAAATTATTAAAATAAATACTAATCCCAGAATACAAGTGTGTCATTTAACTCCCTAAATAATGGAATTCAGCCAAATTTTCACCACCTAGAATGTAAGACTTCTGCTCCAGCCTATCTCGATTTTTCGGCTTAAAAAATTTAGAAGACAGTATTCTTCCGACACAGTTGATTGAGACTAGTCGAAATAAATTTTAACCTATCAAAGTTATCCTTGGACCTTGAGATAATCTCTAAAATGGCCTTTCTATGCAAACTCGATGTTATTATACATTAAAAAATGTTTTAACTAAAAATCGTACTAAACCCGGCCAACCGATCGATGAAGCGGGAACATTGATCTGGATCCACAATACGGATTTGGGTTTAGTTGGTATTTGCACGTCTAAGTGAGAAACGAGAGAAGAGAGTGGAAGGAGGAGTTGAGTTAGAGATATAAATTTCCCAAAACAACAAGTATTGATCTTCTATGATGAAATCGATTCTTGTCCAATCCCGTGATCCTCGACTTTTTGTCTTTTTTACATTAATATTTGGTACGGATTTGAAAACATTAACAATATGTATGTATGCATGTAAATTCCCAATCAATGAAAGAGGTGTTATTTATCTTGTAATTAAAGGGGCAAATGACAAATATATAGTACTTACTTAGCTACTATTTGGTACCGTTAAAAAATCTGATCAAAATATAAGTCAAAGTAAATAATTAATTTTAACCACACATTTCGTAAGACCCATAATTTTTCAACCAACATTCCATCAACTTTTATTAAAATTTGCTAAAATTTGATTTTAATCCTCATCAAACGGGGCTCAGAGTCGACAAATAGCACATGGATTTTGCATAAATATGTAGACAAATCATGTCAAGAGACCGTGGAACAAGGTTATTCACCTGTGACCGTCGACTTGCCAATTAACAAAATGAATTCAATTGAGGCGAAGCGCGATATACGGAGTAAACAATTCATGCTTATCTAATTCCACTTTCGTGAAGGTTCCACAAAAATACAAAACAATCTTGTAATTAAATAAATTAGGGTTAGTTGGAGTTGAAATATGACAAATTAATATTTTTATGCAATTCCAGCTTATAGGAATTCTATTTGGAGCATGTTCAGTTTGGATATGTTAAGAGTACGAAGACTCGAATTTTGTTTTATCCGGCCCGAAAAATTTATGTTACAACATATTTGTGTGAAACTAAAATCATGAAACAGGGGTGCGGGGTGGACGGTATGAACCTGTTTTATTATATATATGATGTATATTAGGGATTCATAATATTATATGATTTAGTGAATTTCCTTCTTCTATGTCCGTAATTTTTTCCCATCTTGAGTGTTTACATAAATCTTGTATTCTTATACCTATCCTCAATTTTGCTTAACAAGCTAAGCTTAAAATCTTTACTAAGTAATTAAGTATATCTTAGAATATATAATTTTTATTTTGAAAAAATTAAAAATAGGTAAATTAATTATATTAAGATTAGTGTTTATTTTTGTGCCAATAAACAATTTTTCCTTGTAAGAAAATAGTTATATTCAAAATCCAGACTGAATATTATTATTATTTTTCCTTGATAAATTAGACATAGACTTATTATAAATTATTATTGCCATTCGATTAAGGTTAGTTTAATTTTAACTCGATAAAACACGTAGTCCTCGTGGGTTCG